AAGCTAACGAACTAGCCGCCGAGAATTCGGGGCACTTAGTTATCTCCCAGACTCTAGTTAATGACCTTAGCTTCCACGTTGATATTGAAGCAACGGCTCGCAAGTATGGACTCACGAAAGCTGACAATTCATTACGGAGAACTTGAAATAGGGGGTCTCAGACTAAATCTTTGTCTCGAAATATTGTGGGTACATTCGATATAGAGCGAACTTGTGTAATAACAAGATCAGCTAAGGATGCTTTTAGACATACTTTGGATGAATACATTCCTTAGCAACAGCCTCATAATTAAAAGTGAAAGTTACCCTGAGCAATTCCTATTATTGTTAATAAACTTGAGTTATCCTAAGCCAAAGGTAAGCCTTTGGTATAGCTCTGGGTTCCTTAGTTTCGGCTACCCTAGTTAAAGTCACAATTTATAACAACGAAGAAAGCGTGCCATAGTCTTAAATTGATAGCTAGAGAATGAGTGACTACATAGGTACACAAAGAAACCCGTTTTGGTACTTATAATTTGTCCTTCTTTCTTTTTGTCTGTCTGTGAGTCTCGCTCGCCCTCAGAACAGGGCGAGCGAGTAAGAGTCCTGTGAGCGTGCGCTCCGACGTTCCTGGTCAGTAACAAGTATTTTCTGCTGTTCTTGGCAGATCAAATGCATCCAGAAGAGATCTAGTGTTCAACAAAGTCTACCTAGGAGGTAGTCATTGATGTGACTGTCCCCTTGTATGATTGAATTTTCATCAAAAGAGATAGGAGTTGGATTGCTAACGCCATGACCTTTTTTTTTTTCATTTTTTTTTTTTCACAAAAAAGTAAGAAATTTATCCGACCACATTGAACCGAACACTCCTCGTTCCAATCACCCCGTTGATCTCTTTATACTGTAGCTTTTCTTCTCATGCGAAATGGAATCTTCTCGACCGGAGGAAGGGCGCCGAATGGTGCGTACCGCATGTTTGGCGCCACCTTGCTTGCCTCGGGTCGAATCAATTCGAGATCGAACTTCGAAAATAGCGCGGCAAAGCTAAGCACCATCTGATGCTTGGCATAATGACGCCCGGGACAGATGCGGTCCCCCCCCCCCCCACCGTAGGGATACCAAAGGCCTAGAAGCCCTTCGACGGTGAATCGCTTCTCGGGCGGGGGTGAGTCTGGATCCCTCGCCGGCGTGCTTCCGGGTTTCCGAAAATCTGCAAGCGAGGGGCGCACCCAGTCCTGGTCTACGAGGAACCGCTCGGCGTCGAACTCCTCAAGTGGCTTGTTGAGCACTCTGCCAGCTCGGATCCAGGCAGCATGGTCAAACGCGGAGCTTCTGCTGTACACGATCATGCAGCTGTCTTTGGGAATGGCGTAACCAGCGACGCTAATATCATCGTATTCGGCAACTCTGCTAGCAGCGATAGCGACATATAGGCGTAGCACTTCAGCGTAGGTCGATTGCAGTAGGGACTGAACTGTGAGCTTCTTGATCTCAAGATTGGAACCGCTGCTGGAAGTGCACTTGGCGATCTCATCCTTTAATCGTGTCAGTATTCTATTAAACAAGGGGGGTCTCTGGTGACTTACACAAATACCAAGCCCAAGTCCTCCGTAGCTCGCGCGTCAGGAGTCATCTTCTCCGTGTTAAGGGCGTAGTTCTCCCTAGCTCTCATAAGCTTAGAGCCAAAATATAGCTCGCAGTTGGGATCCTCTGGAGCAAGTTTAGAGCAGTCATAGATCCAGTAAGGTACCACAGGTGCTTCTCGCAGCATGCTGTTGCCCTTAGTGTTGTTGTTCTCTATTGTTGTTCGAAAACGGATGGTGGATGTAAGATACAGTGCCAGGATGCCCACGATAGATCATTTTACCCAGTTCATATTCACCCAAGCCTTAACAAAAGTGCGAATATTAAAGGAAAGCAGGACCTCCACTCCTTGGACCTATTACTTTGTCAGTCCAGTCGACAACAAGAGCAATATTAAATGAAGTTTACCGATATAACTCAAATATTTAATGCGTATAGGAACATGGCCAGGGTTGTATTGTAGCCATATGAGTCTGCGAAGGTTGTTGCGTCCATGGCTAATAATGATTGTTAGTCAGTCGCCAAGAGATAAGTAAAAATAGTATAGCGTAAACCAATAGAAGGTAAGTCTTATGAGAAGCTAGCTCTACCAGGAGAGTCAAGCCCCTGAGGGCAGTCATCATTTTGCCAGCATAAAAACGAAGCCCGGGTAGGACCTAACATACTACGCACAACCCTGGGGTCAGCCTAGTACCCATCGGGCAGAGCTGTTGTTAGAACGTTGCAAGCAATGGATGTTAGAGTTGGTGCCGTTGGTGGGCCTAGGATCTCTTGGCGGCTGTCGAGTAACACAATAAGTGAGTCTCCAACCAACACTGCCCTCTCCCTCCGACTTCTCTCTTCCCATCATAGCTCGTAGTTGGTTATTCCCATTCACTTACCTCTTACTTTTTCACCTTCTGGTTTCCTGCTCTCTTTTCTAGTTCTGTTTGATTGACTCCTTTCTCAGTGGGCTCGCAACCGCTATTGCACCGCATATTTTAGTTCTGCCTCTTCATCAATGGCTTGGCCTGCGGTACTACTGAGTGCCGTTGCTCTGTTGGTAGGCGCCACGCTGGTGAATACCAGCGTTCGTCTGCTGCGGAACTACTGGGCTGCCCGCTCCATCGGCGTCCCCATACGCATCATTCCCATCAGTCCCCTCAATCCATTCTGGGTCCTGATAGACCGAAAGGCCCTCTCCGTGATCCGGCGTCTACCTTTCGGCGAGAACAGCTTCACCAGGTATAACTGGCGAGGATGGGAGGTCGAGGATAGGTATCGATCTCACTCCGAGATGGGAGATATCTGGGTCTTGGTCACACCTTTCAAGAACTGGGTCTATGTAAATGATCCCCAAGCACTGACGTCCTTGTTTCGGAGAGGAACCGACTTTCCCCGCCCCGTCTTCATCAATGGTATGCACAATTATAGATCCTGGTCCCTCACATTGATAACGCTGACATGACTGGACTACAGAGATCCTAGACGTATTTGGGCCTAACATATCGAGCGTAAGCTTTCCTTTTCTTACATTTCGCCTTCCACTGCATAATGCTATTGCTGACAGGCTTGATCCTCATAGGCTGAAGGCGAGCGATGGAAAACACAGCGTAAAATCGCGACTCATTGTTTCAACGAACAAAATAATAGCATCGTATGGTTAGAGGCCGTAAGCCTGGCTAACGACATGCTCCGGTACTGGACTACGAAGTCGTCTGTTACATCCAGCGCCGATGACCTGCGCACGCTATCTCTCCACGTGCTCTCCCGCGCTGGTTTCGGAAAGTCTTTCAAATTCGTAGGCCATGATGAGAGGCAATATTCTACAAACCCCTCCAACAGTTACAAGGAGTCCCTGCAGACCGTCTTGGAAAATCTCGTCCTCATCTTGGGTTTAGGCACCAAGTTCCTCGCATATCCTTGGCTCCCACGTAAACTTCGAACCGTCCATGAGGCTTGCATCTCATTCCAGAGATACATGACCAATCTTTACGAAGAGGAGAAGCAAGCATTTGCTCGAGGGGAAGTCCGGGACCACAATCTCATGACATCTCTGATTCGTGCTTCCCAGGAAGAAGCCATGACTTCGGGTGGTCTTACGGAGGGCGAGATCTACGGTAACATGTTCGCATTCAACTTCGCCGGCCACGATACCACGGCTCATACTTTCACCTTTGCGCTATATTTTCTAGCGGCGCACTCAGAAGTTCAAGACTGGCTTTCCGAGGAAATAAATATCGTCCTAGGCGATCGTCCGCCCTGTGAGTGGGACTATCGAACCGACTTCCCACGCCTCAAACGCTGCTTGTCCGTAATGTACGAGACAATACGTCTTTACACAGTTGTGCCATCGATCAAGTGGACAAGTAGTCGATCACAATCGCTCACTGTTGGCGAGAAGACGGTTGTACTCCCTCCTGATAGCATGATTGCGCCAAGCTACGGCTCCGTACAAACGGACCCCAGGTTCTGGGGTCCTGATTCCTTGGCCTGGAAGCCGTCGCGCTGGATTAAGCCTGCTGCTGTTTCTGATGTGGATGTTGTGTCGAAGCCGGGAGAGGAGGATTTCAACATGCCCGTGCGTGGTGCTTTCATCGGCTGGTCTGACGGCGTTCGTGACTGTCCGGGGAGAAAATTCTCTCAGGTTGAATTCGTAGCCACGATGGCGTCGCTGTTCTTAAATTGGCGGGTGGACCCAATGGTAGCCAAGGGCGAGACCCTCGAAAAGGCACGACAAAGAGTCGAGGATCTTATCAAGGCAGACTCCGGCTCTGTTCTGTTATTGCAAATGCTACATCCCGAGCGGGCGCCGTTGGTATGGAAAAAGCGATAGGAGGAAACATCATTGTTAAATACTAGGTAGCCTTCCCGAGTTATTTCTCTTAGTGACCCCCAAGTCGAAAATAAAGTTTTTGGTTGGACATATCGCTTGACTTGGAGCCTTATAACACATGTATGCCTCTGTGGGACTGGTCCCATAACCGCCATGGATTATTCCATCTCCCTTCCACAAGATTTCTCACATAGACGGGTTTAGTCAGATGTAATCAAAACATAACAATAAAGAATGGGTACCTCCTACCTAGGTATGTATCTCTGCATGATAACTAAGGAGTCGAGATATAAAGCTTGTTGCTGATTACCAATATGGATAGGACGAAAAATGGGAATTTAAAAAATAAAATAAAAAAGGAGCACGAGGCAAGAGTTGAAGAGGCTGTTTGTTAGACCAATTCGATGTTGTCTCTGGGCTGTCGTGAGCGAGGGTTGAGCCACCCCCGAGTAGCGCTTAATACGGCGTTACTGAAACGGGTAATAAGAGATCCACCGATATTGATAGTTCAAATAAAGCGCACACTAACTCAAGTCGACGGAAACTTTGAATTCTTATGTCGACTTCTTAGAAATTGCGTCAACCATATAAGAAATACGTATATAAAAATAAAAATAACCAGCGCCCCAGGCGGGGGTCGAACCCGCAACCTTGGGATCCCATGTCGTCATTTCTCGGAGGTTTAAGATGACACAATAAAAGTCCCACGCTCTAGCCAATTGAGCTACCAGGGCCTTCTCCTGGATATTTGTCATGGTTTAAAGTTACAAACCTGCTAAAGAAGATCTTATACACTGACGCGCCAGCTATTAGTATAGCTCCGGTATATCTATCTCATAATCGTCTTTTTGATCTAAATAAGTTCATCGAACTACTGCATGTTTAACTATGTTAGCTAATAGTTTGCTAATTATAAAAGACTTTTGCGTTAGTTTAGAGTACCTAAGCAAGGGGTGTGGAGCCGCTAAGAGTATACACTGCGGTCTTAAGCGCCCTCCGGAAGGTCTGTGTTTCGTGATGTCACGAAGTCAGGCGAAGTTGTAGTCCGAGAATAGGCAGGTCTATTAGGAAAAGAAAAGTTACGTAGGTAGTATTCATTCCTGTATACCTGGCTTGAGAGCAACTATCATCATTCATCATCGCTATGTATAAGTACCTACACAGGGTCCAAGCAAAAGACCATCGTAGGTTGCTCATATGTAGAATCGCAATCTAAGTACAATTACCAATTCCCTTTGCTCTTCTGCCGCTTGTGTCCACTGAATGGGTCCCATCGACGAATGTTCGTTGACAAATCGTCGTCCGAGTCCTCAAAGGACTTGTCGCGACGGCTAGGGCGCTTTTGCGCAGCCTCAGGTGCCGGTTTGTGTTTCTCGGCAGTTCGCTCTGTCATGATATTGTTAGCTATTAAACATGGTAGGCATTAATGTAGTATTTGGTCTACTCACGGTTGATCCATTGGCTCTCTGAGCTATCCACTCTGGACAGCTTTCTCTTCTTCCTCTCGTACAGGAACTCTGCATCATCAGACGAGTCATTCCTCTCATTGGTTTCTTTAGCCGAGTTTCCGTATTCCTCCTCCCACAGGCGATCCCACTTTGCTACAGCAGGATCGTCCATGCTCACGAACATCCGTCGGTTTCCCGCGTCCCATGACGACCCGTGGCTAGATTGAGACGGTTTAGGATCCTGAGCTGTAGGCTTAGCTGGCTTGCCATATTCTTGGTCCCAGAGACGGTACCATTCTGCAACGGCAGGGTCGTCTTGGCGGACGAAAAGGCGACGATTTCCCGGGTGATCATTGTCTGCGGTGGAGGGTTTCGACGCTCGTGTCTGTGTTGTCTTGCTCGAGGCCGGCTTAGCGGAGTGGGAGATTCCTGGGATGCGGGCGGTTAAGTGGTCCCAGGCGCGCTCGTGGACCCGAGGCTCCTTCGGCTTGACCTGCTTCTTCGCAGGCGGTGACTGCTTTCGACGCGCCATCTTGGATGTTGATGAGATGATTATTGTTGGTGTAATGAAAGATGCGTGGAGAATGATGGTGTAGTCGCTTTTATCTAGATACCACTGAGGATTAGAGTAGAATTTATTGGTGAAAGTAGAAGTTGAGTTACAGTTGCAATGCTGAAGAGGTAGAGTTCCATAGTAGAGTAATGAGTAAAATGTAGGAATATATAGCCCACCTTTATATACCCTAAGAACCTTGGGTACCTTAGGTCTCTATAGATGTAGGTACCTCAGGTTTGAATATTACCTGGGTAAAGTGCGGCCTAAGGAATGCAAAAAAGGACGGGGTCAATAACACGTGCGTATGTTGGTGACTAGGTTACTCTCGAAGAGCGGAGTAAATTATGTCTTGATGAGAAGCCTAAGGTATAAATTGATGACATACCCTTGCGATGTGGAGGTGGACAACCAAGAGAGATTCAGAGCAACGGTTTGCTAGATGCTCAATGTACGGTAAATAGATATCACATATTTAGGAAGCAAAAACTGACGACATGAATAGAAATAATTGAAATAACATGCCGATATGTTCATTTACAAATATAAGTCATAATATCTTCATCTCTAAACGAGAATCTCTTTTTACTCTATTTTAAGCGTAAGTACGCCACGCTAGGAATTGGGTGAGTTTACAAACTAAAGACCGTAAAGAAGTAATAAACAATATCCCATTCTCAGAACTTGTCGACCGTCTGCGTAATAACTACTATCAATACTGCCAATCATTCTTCCTCTTCTTTCGCTTATGGCCGTTGAATGGGTTCCACTGACCGACGATCTTGGACAAGTCATCGTCCGAATCGTTGAAGGACTCGTCGCCATGTTCGAGGCGCTTCTACGCAGGCTTAAGTTTCCCCTGGGTATCAGTAGTCCGATATGAGAGCAAGATTCGCTTAGTAGAATGATCATATTGTGCTAATTCTTTAGCTTGGCCGTGCGAATATCATGGATAGATGTTATCGACGAATTTGACGATGACATGACCGTTAGTGCCCCCAAAAATGATACACTGACTCAACGGAGTGTTATATTGACATAAACCCGATTCGTACGCCTTTTAACAAGCATCTGCCAGAACATAGAGTTGGTGTTGAGAGGGCTGGCGATATGATTTGGCCTGGCAAGCAGCACGCCGCACAACTCAACAAACAGGATAAGCAAGCCGATGCCACAGATGGCAATTGGCTCGAGTGTTAAACTCTTATTCTCATAGTCGTCATTAGCATAGAATGTGTGTGCCTGAAATGTGTCTACGTAACCGCTGCTGTTACTTGTAACATGCTCTAAAGTGTCTGTTAAGTGCCAGTGTATATAGTTTAACTGCGTATATTTAAACACGCGGATCTTCATCTAGCCACCGGCCAGCAGATCGTACTTCTGTTTTCTCTTCTTCTGCTCATTCAGATTCTACAAACGCGCGAGCTACCGACACATCTCCTACCTGCCTGAAAACAGAAGTGGACTCAGCAAACCAGAACCCAGACCTCCGCAAACGAGGATTATCAATCTGTCCAAATCTCCTCGCGAATCGTTTGGGTCAGACAAAATGGCAAATACCAGGACGTGCTGGAAATGCTGGGGGCAGGGATAGCATTTGTCTAGGAAGCCTTTGCTCTACCTCGTCGCATTCCAATGATTCCTGGAGTTCTTACATAATGTACATTGGTTGGTTTGGGCCTTGTTCTGGCTGGTCTACGTTACAGCCCTCCTTATTGTTATCGTCGGTGCTCTCAACCCCGTTGTCCGGCCTACCTGGTACGACGAAGAGTCTCCGGAGGAACACTGTCATATTATGGATAGGCACAGGATGCTCCCGGATCGTGGACGGGCAATTGAAGACCTTATCCGAGACAAGCTACGAGCCCAAGGCGTCTTTTTGCCGGCAGATGGTAGATAATACACTGACATCGTACGAAGTTAGCTACGAAGTCGATATAAAAAAACTTTCACAATCGCCTAGTATCAAGCACAGTTGCTCGAAAAGTGAGAAAAGAAATAAAAAAAATAAAAAAGCTTTACCTCATTCAGGACCGTTCTACCAATCTGTATTTTCCCGCCATAGTAGCTTATAATATTCCTAATACTACTCGAGTATGTCGCCTTGAACATACGCCTGACCGGTTTTACTTACTATCAGGTTGCGCCCCTTATTCCAAAAGGAGTAGAGAGTATGGCCTTTTCCGTGGTAATTTCAAAAAGAGGTGCTTCCACGTGTAAGGCTCATATTGAAGATAAGAATCAGTTTCTCAAATCGAAATCAATTTTCTCAATCTAAAGGAGAGATGGTTCACTGCCCACCTAAACCATAAGCTATCGCTGGAAAATATCCATAACACGTGAACGCTGTGGTATCTTAACAAAAAGAAAATAAAATATAAAAAAAGACCTTTTCCGTCCCGAGCCATTAAGAGACCGACTGAGTTGTTGAATCGTATGCCTTCTTGATTCGCTTGGAAGTCGATGTGGGTTCTTCTTCGGGTCCTCGTGTCTAAAGTTGAGGGGAAACCAATTGATTTACTATGCAGAGCCGTTTGCAAACGTCTCCTGTCCCAACCTCATCAAATCTCGGTTCTCTGTTTCTTGCCAGACCGCCCCCCGGCCGATTGATCATCCTCGCTGCGCTTGCGCTTGGGGGCGGCGCCAGCAGAGCCAACGAATGCGTCACCAGTGGCGCATTCGCAGGGCATCTCAGCAGAAGCTGCTAGCATGTCGGCCGCAGCAGACAGCGTCTTGGCTGCTGAAGAGAGCATGGCTGCTGCAGACGAGAGTAAGGCTCGCCGGGAGCGCTCGGCTGCTATAGTGGCGTTAGCTTGTGGTCAATGTTAGCGTCAAATGGTAAGGGAGGAGTGCTCACCCTCAGCTTGGACAGTCTGGATGAGATTGTGGCTCATTGGCCGATCCGACACATCTTCCTCCTTGGGATGATGGATGACTGTTGAGTCTGAGTCGGAGGCCGAGTCGTCCTCTGAGATGAGATCAACGATGACTGGTTGATCTGCCGAAGTTCCAGGGAGTTCCAAAGCCTTGCTATGGAAAGAGTGTCGAGAAGATGACGTGCGAGATTCCCGAGCCAGCGGGAAGAACGGAGGTGGTAAGAGCCCCTCCCAGTGGGTGAATGCTCCTTGAGGGGGAAGGGTAGGATCCAAAAGGATGTCAATAGCATCAAATGGCTCCGAATGTTCTGGCAATCTTCGCTGTCGGTCCAAGGGGTTAATGGCGGGATAAATTCCCGAAGGAACCCCGAGATGCTTTCGAGGCATGGTTGTAGTTGAATGATGTTGATAGAGGTATCTCAAATCAAAATCAAAAACGACTATGCTTTGCGACGAAGGCGTTGCGGTTGAATGTAATAAAGAGGAAGCTGAAGATTGAATACGGTCCGCTTGTAAAGTCGTGTGGTAGGACAAAAGAGGTGAAAAGATGAGACAGAGAGACTCGAATGAGAGTTGTAAGAGCAAGATGGAAGAAAAGTAATAAAAGAGAATGTGCGCTGTCTTTTATGCTACTTTCTTTACTTCGGTTGGCCTCCTCTTTGGCTCTTTCCTCGACCTTGGGAAGTTGCGAAGCTGCGTAGTTGCCATGTCCGTCAATAAGATTTGCGGTACTAAGTCGGTGCCGTAGTTTCCATTGGCTCCCAGAATTAAGGCAACTAAGTTACCTAAATTAACTCTCACTGCTCTGTATTGCAATTCCTCGCCTTCCCGGGGGTCTTTCCGCAAACCCTTTCTTC